GACGTGGTGTAGAAGCTTTTCACGTTAGGAATGTAGTGAAAGCTCTTCCCATTGAGGAATGTAATGTTACTATTACTAAAATGCCCAATCCAAAAGAACGGCTGAAATTTGACAAACAATGAGCTGCACACTCAAAATAACGCACTTAAACTTTCCACATGCCTAAAACCTTTCGGATTTATTAAAGTTGTATGTAGCATGCGTGATTAATTAAAAGGTAAAAACATAATTTAGATTAATGACATTTTGGTATCTTTTGGGGATCTTGTAATATGGTCTCGCATGATCTTCTAATTTACTTAAAAAGTAAGCATTAACACTTTTTATGTATTCCAATCATTTGAAGCAATGGCTTGAAAGCATAGGATGTACATGCTCATACCGTTTCCATAAGGTATTGCTAAGTTGTATAAAGAAGTGCATCGAAGATGACCATACTTATGATATCCGATTGCTATATCTTTGGAAGGATTGTTGTTTTGTACGTACATAATTTGTGCAAAGTTGGGTTCGTATAAACCATCATCAATGCATTATGTGTATTTTGAATGCTATTCTTGAAACAACATTTTGTTCAAATTTGATCACGATGTCCTTTACTCATTACACTGAAGTGTCCCGTTAGCCATCCTTGAATGGAGCCAACCTAATGGATGAAGCGATTTGCATGTAAAAATCGGTGTTAATTCAGTCGAATGATTTGAATACTAGTGTTATAAATGAGATAAAATAAATGTGGACAAGTCATCCCCTCAAAGTCTTCGTACGGTACGGTACGGTACGCCAATTTAGTCAACAAGTCAAAGCAACTAATAATAATAATAATAATAATTAAAAGCAACTAATAACGCCACCAAAAAGATATATACATAAAACAAGCCAAAAAATAAATAATTGCGACTAGGCTCTATCTGATCTTCATTACTTCTGCTCCAGCGGTTCAAATTCCGAAGGATAATATTCATAATTATTTTCAATTTCTCATGATATATTTATTAAGAGGAAATATTATAGATCGTGCCAACCAAAGAGGTGTATTGCTAACAAATGTCGTGACAATCTATGCCAAATCATGCAAAACAGACTTATTTAATATGTCAAGATTGTAGTTACAAATTTACGATTTTCTTGATATGTTGCGTCCAAAACTAATTAAATCAAATATATGCGACCATAAAATCATGGAAAATGAAGGAAGCGAAGGGAAAGGTACACACGGGCTGGCGCTATTCAATGGAGAAAATGGCAATAAAAGAACGTCGCTATGCATTGTCGGAGGGACCTTAGAAGAAACGGGTCGTGTAGACCGCATTGAATCTCGTCCTTATGGTTGGAGTTTAAGTTAAGCGGGTTATGGGACAAATCCTATCATCGACCACGAGTTTAAGCTTATAAACATTGATCGATATCTAAAGAAAATAAAAGATACTTTTTCATGCATTTATTCATGAATGCCTAATGCTATTGAATATCTTTTAGTCCGGTGTCACTTTCCTTCAAACCATATTCCTTTTGGAATAAAAAAAAAAGCAATCAAATAAATTGCACAAAATAAGAAAATGAATCGAATACTAAATTTACATGATTCAGTCGTGTGATCTACGTCAACGAAAAGAGTAGTATAAAATTCCATTATAGATTAAAAGATGAAATGAAAGTTATAATCACACTCGAGTCATTTAAATACTCTCCGTATTTTTTAGGTTCTAATTATATTTAATAATGTTTAACGTTTAAAATTTCTCTTGCGTAACGAAATGACACAAATCTTAACAATATAATCGGCTTCGGAACAGAAATATTTGGTGTGATCAAGGGCAACTCTTGGCACGCTTTTCAATATGCTCTGTGCAGCCTTCAGAGCTCTCCTGGTATTTAAAGAGCAAATTCAGCAGAACCAAATAAAGAAGAAGAAAGGAAACGACTGAGTGGCCAACATGGAAAGACACCATCCTTGCAACTTTCTTCGTCTTCTTCCCTTTCGGCCCACATCGGCAATGGCCATCATCATTAATCTCGTTTCCCTTTCTTCAGCTGAGCAAAGCCGTCTCTTATGGTCAATACCATCATGGTTTCCCTTTCTTCCTTTCGTGCACAGAGCGACACCACGATGGAGTGGCATCATGGCCATTGACAGGCCATCCCTGCATTTCCTCCCACCAATTTTGAACAGTGGTTGAGCGTCCATAATCCCATCCGGTCCTATTTCATCCAACGAGCTCAAATTCGAAATATATTCTAACATATTTGGTTTAACGTCCAAACCACTCTAACTACACTATGCTCTCATTCTAATTGTCGTCGGTAGGAAATAAATGATCATTTGCTTTTTAATATAATGACACGTTTTATGAGAATATTTGAGTTGTTAAGGGAAATTACTTGTAATTAAAGGTAAGTCTTTAAGGCGAAGAGATCAAAACAAATATTTCATAGTAAGTAGTAGTACGTATATGCTTAGGTAATGCTTAGGTGGAGCATTTGTTGTAGAGAATGCAGCAAATCCAATCTTTGTAGTATGAACTAGATTTTTCTAATTATCCGAAGTCCTAAGTGTTAGAATGACAAGCGATTCTTTAGGAATATTTCGTTACTCTATATAAATAAATTGTTATTTTACAATACTAGATTAGGATTTTAAATATGCCCAACTATAGATATAGAGAATCAAATATTTTTAATCCAAAAGTTCAAAAGCACAAAGTGAACAGCACAAAGGAGCAACTCGAAAGAAATTGAGCGTGTAAAAAGGCGTACCTCCACAATTGTCCTCCACCTTATTTTTCTTTTCTAAAGCCATCAACTTTATTGACTATAAACTAAAAACTGCACTTGCTACGAAGTTGCCTATACGCGTTTTGGATGGCAAATGAGATGGGATTCAAATATGTGAAATGTCATATGGCGAACTCAGAGACCAGGTGAGAGGGCTGACCTTGCCAAGTGCGAAGTGAGCTCCTATGGCGAACTTAGAGACGGGAACAAGCACTAGCAATACATCAGGAGGTGAGTACCAGGTCTTCTTGAGTTTTACAGGGCTTGATACTTGTCGTACATTCACAGATAGCCTCCACCAAGCCTTGGTAGATGCCGGGATTAGTGTTTTCACCTATGACGAAGGGCTTCGATCAAGTGACAGAATTAGTGGCAACCTTCTACAAGCGATCGACAATTCCAAGCTCTACATACCCATCTTCTCCAAAAATTACGCTTCAAGTGACCGGTGCCTCAACGAGCTTGCGGAGATGGTGGAGAATGCCTCTAAATATAAAGAAGATAGGAAAGAGCAGGTCATACTACCCATCTTCTACAATGTGATACCCGATGACGTGAAGTTGAAAACCTCGTTGTACAAAGAAGCCATATCGAATTTCAACTCCAAGGATATAGAGAGATGGCAGAAAGCTCTCAAAGAAGTTTGTGGCTACAAGGGATGGGAGCTGGAGAAATATTCAAGGTAACAATCTAACCATGATTGTAAAAATTATTTTGTACAATCGGGCCATTTTATATTTAAGTAAATCTTCTATTACGGTAAATCGTTAGATGTTTATATTTTGATACTTCAACTATTTTTTGCCAGAAATTCTGATTCTTCTACTTGATATAAAGATCAAACGTTTCTCTTCTATATCCTAAACTTGATCGCGTTCCCACCTGGTTGGTTAGTAGATGGTTGGTCAACATGCAAATTTCTCACCTTTTCTCAATTGAAAATGTTCAACTTTGTGGCAGCTATGTGGAACTTATCCAGACGGTTGTTCAAGAAGTTATGGCCAGGCTCGAGACAAGACAAAGACGTGTAACCAGAGATTTAGTTGGAATGGAGGATCGAATAGCAACCATAAACAATTTCTTAGACATCGACTCTGATGGTGTGCGGCTAATTGGAATCTACGGGATGGGCGGCAGCGGTAAAACAACACTTGCCAAGATTATCTTCAACCAACTATGTCCTCGCTTTGGGAAAAATTGCAGCTTTCTTGACGACGTGAGGGAAATAGCAAAAACCAATCGTTTAGAGAAGTTGCAAAAAAAATTATTGTTCGATGTCACTGGAAAGGAAACTTACATTGCAAACGTTGATCATGGGACCAATATGATTGAAGATACAATTTGCAACAAGAAGGTGCTAATTGTATTGGATGATGTTGATCAGGCCTACCAGATCCAAAAGCTAATTGGAGAGAAAATTTTCTATCCTGGTACTAGAATACTTGTTACCACTAGGGACAAGAGTGTTCTGAATATTAGGGGATTTAAGTATGAATTCAAGGATTATGAAATGATGGGGTTAAGCGGCAAAGATGCACTTAAACTTTTTAGTAGGCATGCCTTCAACGAGGACTCTCCTCCAGATGACTACTGCACTCTTTCAAAGGGCATTGTCGATACTACAAATGGACTACCTTTAGCTCTTCAAGCAATAGGTTCATCCCTCTTTTATAAGAAAAACAAAGAAATATGGAAAGAGTGGCTAGAGAAGCTAAAGAAAACACCTCATAAGGATGTCTTGGCAAAGCTAAGGATTAGCTATGATGCCTTAGAGTGGCATGTACAACAAATATTCCTCGATATTGCATGCTTTTTCATTGGTGAGAATAAGACTAATCCAATGTACATGTGGAAAGATTGTAAGTTTTACCCAATGGATGCCATCGAGGTCCTTATTAACAGATGCATGATAAAGGAGTTAGACGATAATAGCCTTTGGATGCATGATCAGTTTAGAGATCTTGGAAGAAAAATTGCCAAAGAAGAGGGAACCCGATTGTGGGATAAAGATGACATCATTCACAAATTAAAATCAACAGAGGTAAAGTATGGCCAAATTTGAATTGAAATTTACTTATAACCTCTTCTTAATTGATGTTTCACGTTTTTGAATTGGGAGCTACACTTCTACTACATTTTTTCTTTTCTTCTGCGAAATAAAATAGTGAAATATTGACAAATTCCTCTTTCTGCTCCTTAATGTCATTGGCAGACCAAGGGAAGCGTTGAAGCACTTCGTATGAAACATGGGGCTCCGTCGAAAGATCCTATAATTGTCACTTCGGAGCAAATTAAGCGATTCCCGAATATAAGGTTTCTTTCGTTGTGTGAGGTAAACTGCCAAGGTGACTTTATGGGCTGTCTTTCCGAATTGAAATGGATCAGTTTGGATTACGATTATGCTATTCCTCCTGGACCTGCCGCTGCCCATTGTCAACGGCTTGAGGCAACTAATTCGTGGCATCTAGAAAACGTGGTTGTGTTGAATCTTTCTGGGGTTGATATCACAGAAGATGTGTTTCGGAGCCTAATCAAGGTATGCTAGTTTCACCCTTAGTCTAATTTTCTCATTCACTGAAGGTAAAAATCTGATAGATTTATGATCTAATTTTCTCATTGGTAGCCTAAATCCATATTTATTTCTTGTCTATCCTGAGGTTTCATTGGCTTTTGTAGGAGGCAAGGAAATTGAAGGTTCTCACTCTTTGTTATAATACGCTGATACATGGGAAACCAACTTTTCCCCGGAACTCAAGTTTAGAGAAGTTGACTATTTCCAATTTTCTTTCCTTGAAGGAAATTGATCGCTCTATTGGGAAACTGACGAAGCTAACTGACTTGAGTTTTGAGTTATGTGTTGAAATTGAAAAATTGCCTCAACAAATTGGAGAATTACGGGAACTGCAGCACCTCTCTCTTAGGAGTTGTGATAGCTTGAGGGAACTCCCCGACTCGGTTTTGAAATTAACGTCGTTAATGAAGCTGGATGTATGGGGCACCAGAATTACAAGGTTACCAGATTCCATTGATAGACTATCAAGCCTATCATCTGTCAATGCATCATTCACATCGATTGAAAAACTGCCCAGTACAATGAGCAAGCTTCTTTGCCTCCGAACACTGCATTTGAATAATTGCAATCAGATACAAGAGCTGCCGGAGCTCCCTAGAAGTTTGACCACTCTACAGTTGACATCTACTTCGTTGGTGACTGTCCCTAACCTCTCATACCTTACTAATCTAGTTGAACTGGCCCTGTCCGATGGCTCTGAATCTGTTGCCGAATCAGATATAATTCAAACTTGCGACTTGCAGTGGATTGGGAGTTTATCCAGACTGAGCAAGCTGCAATTTTGCTTTTCAAATGTCTGCGTTTCGACTATGGAGTTGGGTTCCCTTTCTCAGCTGAAAGAACTTATTCTACATGGACTAGACGTGCCAGCTTTCAAACGACTTCCATCATCAGAGTTGATGGTTCTAGAGCTCTACGACACTCGAGGGAAACAAATACGGCTTCCTCCATCGAAAAAGGAGACTGCAACCGTTGCATCAAGTTCGACAAAATCGGAAAAAAGCAAGGTGTTACGGCAAATTGAAATTATTTTCACGGAAGGCCATAAATCATCGGATGGGTCAGTTCATCTGCGGGAGGAGCCGGGGTGCAATGAGCTACAAGCTCCCGAGTTGATTGATCATTGGAGGGGAGACTTCCATTTCCCAAGCTCCATAAATACGCTTCGAAAACTCGTTCTGTGGGGGTGCCCAGGGTTAGAGGATATTCAATTTGTTCCTACGCTGTTGTTAATATTGTCTGTTGGAGGGTGCACTTCATTAAAAAGATTAGGGGGTTTGTCAAACTTGAAGTACCTGACGGAGTTGACTCTTAACCGGTGCTGGAACCTGCAGGTTGTCGAGGGCATTGACGAGTTAAAGTTTTTGCATCAGTTGACAATTGATCGGTGCGGATCAGTGGAGAGGATTCTTGATCCATCGAGCTCAAAAATACCAGATAAGTGCTCAATAAGCATAAAACGTAGTGGGAAGTTACCTGATTGTGGTCGATCTCACAACTCTTGGGGGTCTTACAAAAAGATTCTAAATGGAACTGAAATTGAAACGGCAGACTCTGAAACAGAAACAACGCATACAGAAACAGAGGGTTTTTATATAACAGTGCAGGGGAACTTTATATTTAGATTCGATAAATCTGAAACAGAAACAGGGGATGCTCCGGTACACCTCTCTGCTATTGTTACAGTACCGGACATGAACTCTATAATTGAAAGAGCGGACTCTGAAACAGAATCAGAATCAGAATCAGAAACAGAAACAGAGGAAAGGGTGCGCCTTCTTTCTATTCATAGATCATCGCTGTTTCTTCTGCTTTACTTGCTTTCTATTTCTGCTTTATTAAAATTCCCGATTTACTGGGAATCTCCATATGCTGTCTGTGTGTCCACTTCGGTGGCGAGGTGAGGGATCTTACATCCCTCACCATCTATAACGAAAGGGCCTTTCTTAAGAGAAATTTTTAAGATACCTCAACTCAACTCACCTTATCGTTTCCTTCTGCAGGCAGAGTCGGTAAAACGAAAAGGACAAAGAAAGTTCGATTATTTTGCGTGAACAATGGATTGAATTGCGATTGGGGTTCTTTTTCACGTTTTCTTCTTCCTCTCTCCCGCTACTCAAGCAAATCACTGTCGCCCGATCCTCAGTCGCTACTCGCTCCTCGCAAGCTTCAGTCCGTCGTTTGTCATCTGTCGCCATCGTCTCTTCTTTCCCAGGTTCCGTCGTCCGCAAGCTTCAAGTTCGTCGTCCGCAAAGCTTCAAGTTCCATGTCCGCGAGCTTCAAGTTCCATGTCCGTGAGCTTCAAGTCCTTCTCCAGTGCCACTTTTCACTCTGGTGCACATTTTCTTCTTCAGTGCCGCTCAGCTGGAGGAATTTGCTGCATTCATTAACTCCATCGGTGGCGTAAGTCACGGGCCTGAACTCAAGCTCTGGATCACTAACTAATCGCTGAAGAACAGGTAAGAGTGGTGTGGAGTTGGTGTTTAGTTGAATGTAATGGTGTGCTTTATCTTTGCGTGGTTAAGCATGAGCTCGAGCTCTAGCTCCAGCTTCATTACCATATGGTAATAGTTGTGTAAAGGTCTGCTTTCTTGCAATTGTTTGACTATTTGAGTGCCTAATCTAGTTATGTTGCTATGCTTTTGTGGACTGCTCGATTGAGTCTTATCGGGTGCATCTTCTCGTGAAGAGTTTATCTGTAAGTATATTCTAAAGTCTGGATAATGTGCGCTTTAATGAGTATCCATGTCTCTTTATTACCTGTGAGGAGCTCTTGATGATTGTAAATGAAGCAAACAATGCTTCTCTTCTTGGTTCATCATGCAGAATTAAAATGGGATATCCAGGTTTTTTTTTCTTTTCATATTTTGGGCAGTTATGGTTTCCATTGGTAATTTGAGGTCTGCTGCATATGGTTGGGGATTCCACAGGTCAATTTTACAACGTGACCGACTAGACAATTGGCTAGACAAAGACACACGGCTTTGTTATCTATTGAAAGTAGAAACACCAAATCTTGTCGCTTCATGATTACTCCTACGTTCCTGTTCCCCGTTTTGCAAATAGCTTCTTATTTGTATTGAAAGAAGAGAGAAAAATGAGCCACTTTGTAGTAAGGTTCTTGGTCAGGCTCTTGGGCAGCTTAATTTACTTGCTTGGTGCTTCATTGCTTTATGCCTAATTCTCCGCCGAAATTAGCAACTCCTTCGTGCTTTCTCACGTCTAAGACGAGTCCCAAGGAATTTCTTAAAACTGTGGCGACTTGGTTTTATCCTTTGGATGTGTTCATCGGAACAAAATTAGAAGACCACCCTGTATTTAAGCATATACATGACTTACTAAGCACCAATCAGAAATTAGAAACCAGCGAAAGAGCTCCGGCATGAGGTTATGACATACTAGGCCCTGCATGAGACTCTGCACGAGGAACGCAACCAAAACCACCATCCGAAGTCTTGCAACACACTATATATCCGACAGCCTTCTCCACATCTATCGAATCCAACCATTTTAGCATCGCAAGACAGCATATAGCACAAGAAGAGAACATTCGAAGGGAAAAAAGGGGTGAAAGGAATGTCAATTATTTAAGAAACATCCTCAAGAAGCACAAAAATTATTATTTATCAAAGATGAGGACAAGACACTAAGTATCGACTTCTCCCCATATATCCCCAGAGAAGATCCGTCTTTGTTTTGCACTGCTCTTATGTCAGGATCACAGTTCAGGCACAACAATGTAGAACATTTGATACCAGAGATTATCCAACAATAGCAACTTCAATCTCCATAGAAAGAGCCCTCCTCATCAATGTTTGGCTAGCAATATACACACTATAACTGTAATCAAAATTCCATAACATGACATAAGATGACCTCTTGCATGCGCAATAGAGCCTAACTTTAATTTTATCGCTCTCATGACGTTGAAAACTTAATAGCATAAAACAACACCAACGAACTTGCATCAATGGTAAGAATTTGCAAATCTAGGTTGCTTTTTTCCAAAGGATACAATCTATCACTTTATTGATTTCGAGAACATCTAACTTGTCAAAATTGGCCAAAATTTACACAACACTGAATGTATACAGCAGATGCGGATCATGTCCAATATTTGCACCAAAGCCGCCTGCACAAGCAGCCCTAAGTGTCATTCGCATTTTGTTCTATAGAGTCAAGTTTTAGATCATAAATACATTAAAGCAACACTAATCACTCCTAAGACGTGGTGGTTATCATTGCAATAGATGAGAAATATTTGATTGAATGTGCAGTGGAGGTTCAGTTAGCAAATAAAGAAGCCAAGAGACAAACAAATACAAACCAGACTCGTGTTGGCATTGCAGGATTTACGAAGCCACTTCATTTGAATCCACAGTGTCAAGTTTTCCAAGAAGATCTAGAGTGGTCAATCCCCAATATGCTCCATTCAATCTCAAGTGCTCTATAACCACCGGCTCAAAACTATCCTTCTTCTTAGTGCAAGATCAACCCAGAAACTCAAATCAACTCCGAAATGCTGAACAGTAGCAGATCCAGATAAACCAAGTCATTTTCAGTAACTGGCAGGAAGTGGACAAGAAAACAACAAGAGAATTGTAAAAATTTCATACCTACCTTTTCAACAGACAGCATGTACTTGACATGTTCATCGCCAGCGAGCTCGACCATCTGCCGTAAGACGTTACATATTTATGAACATGGAATTAAATCTTAAGCACGCCACCTAAGAACTCAGCAACTCAAGTGCAAAAAGCATATCATTACAAGGTTTGGTGAGGTCATCAAGGATCATAACAATCCTGTAAATTTAACATAATATTAGGTTCGACTTTGTTTCGACTAATCGCATATGTACATAACGGAGGGAATGAAGCTCGTCTCTATTTCTAATTGGAGAAGATGTGCCCGTGCTCAAATTGCTTGCATTCCAATCTTAAAAAGTACCTCTCTCCCTAATGGGAGCTTCCTCTCTCGATTACGATCTGAGAGTTTTTCCTCTTTATCTACTGCCCCTTCAATCCTCCATCGTCTTCAACACCCTATGACTCTGTGCTTCCACTTTTACCCTACGGCATACCATTTAATCACGCCACTATCCTGACGTGGTTTCGGATCCTTTTTCACTGCTGGTTTCAATAGTTGTCACTAGTTGATGCATCTTGAAATCGAGCCTTCTTAGTTGTTGCTTGGCTCAGCCATCTCACTTGCTTGAACCTACAATCCTTTGACAATCAGAGGATCCAACCAGGTGCAGACCAAGTGCTCGACAAAATGCTTGACAGAGAGTTAAGCTGTGATTCTTATTTGTTGTGCCTATCTGTGGCTACGCCACAGCAGGTTTTGTGGTAGTTGTTGCTGTGGAGTCAATTGAATAGATTGGTTGAGGTATTGTTGGAGACTGGACAGTGAGAAAATTAAAAGAAACATGTGACTATAGGAAATAAAAGAGCTAGGCGATGTTAATTACGGACTTGTGCACGTGCTGACAGAAGATGAAAAGTGGGCATTGATTGCTTGCCCTAATTAGCTACCGGTTTACAAATGAATCTTATTTGCTGGAACTACCAGGGTTTAGGCTCACCCCTGACAGTCCAAGCCTTGAGAGCCCTTGTGGCTCAAGTAAAGCCTAAGTTAATAATTGTAATGGAGACAAAAAACCATGAAAAAAGGGCGATGAGGGTAAAGAGAAAGCTCAACTTTCAGAATTGTTTTATAGTGAAACCAGAGGACATATCAGAGGGATTAGCAGTAATGTGGAAAGAAGTAGAAGTGGGAGTAGACTTAGCAAGGAAACATTTCATTAATCTTCGTTTAAAGGAGAAGGGGGAACATAATGCAATGAGAATCACTTTTGTCCATGCACCAAATGATTTCCAGGAAAGGCTTGTGCTGTGGAAGGAGCTAAAAGGTATTAGGAGTTGCAATAACCTACTGTGGGTTGCAATGGGAGACTTCAATGAAATCTTGCATCATTGGGAAAAAGTAGGGAGAAGGGCAGCCGAGAATTACAGCCTTGCTGCGTTTCAAGATTTCTTGAATGATTGTTGTTTAATGGATGTAGAAAGTAAGGGATGTGCTTTTACTTGGGTAAATAATAGAGATGGGGGAGAATTGGTGAAAGAAAGACTGGATAGAGTCCTTTGTAGCGTCGAATGGAGAGTAAAATTCCCAGAAGCTGAAGTTTATGCCCCACCGGCCATTGGTTCAGCCCATAGCTCTCTCTTAGTATCCTTATTCCCAATGCAAGTAAAAAGAAAGAAAAATTTAAATTTGAAGTTTATTAGATAGAAGATGAAGAGTGCTATGATGTAGTCAAATTTGTTTGGGAGTCACCAAAATCGGGAAGAGTAGACATGACAGGAAAGCTGAGATGTGCAGCGGCCGAGTTGGAGAGATGGAGCAAGAGAAAATTTATAGACTCATCCTGACAAATAAACTCCTTTAAACTGGAATTTCAGCAGTTCACAAATTCGGTTAGTGGAGAACAAAATGAGGTAAGAGTTAAGGAGCTGAAAGTAGAAATTGAAAGCGTTTGGCGACGGGAGGAAATGTAATGGGAGATGCGCTCTCGCATAAACTGGCTGAAATGGGGAGACAAAAATACTCGTTACTTTCATGCCACAACCATACAAAGGAGGCAGAGAAATAAATTATAATACTGAAAAATTCTGAGAACCACTGGATTCGAGAGATTGAGTAGCTCAAAAGTATGACTACAGAATATTTTCAGGAGCTATAGAGTACAAATGGTCCCAGAAACTTTCAACCAGTCATAGAACAATGCCAAAGGATTATGTCGGAGGAAATTAACAAAAAAAAGATGGCTAATCTGAATATGGAAGAAGTGAGGGACGTAGTTTTCCAGTTGGGTGCAACCAAAGCTCCTGGTCCGAATGGACTAAACGGCCAATTTTATCACCATGATTGGGGGATACTAAGTCAGGATATGTTTAAAATGGTGGCAGATTTCATTGAAACAGGTACGTTTAATCCTCAGCTGAATAGAACTAATATTGCCCTTATTCCAAAGGTGCTGAATCCAGAAAGTCTTGACCAATTTCGGCCAA